CCTCCGGAGCGTTTACCCGCGTACCCTCTGCAAATCTCAGCGAGCAAGGAGTGGAAAACGTATAGCTTTCCACTCAAACAAGCAAATATTATTTCGTGTTTAAAAAACGGCACTCTTGGCTAAAGCCATATGAATCGTAGCATAATTTTGGTTGGAAAGGACCTGCAAGATCATCGAGTCCAACCATTAACCTGTCACTGCCAAGTCCACCACTAAACCATGTCCCCAAGCACCACGTCTACAGGGCTTTTAAAAATACCCCAAGGGACGGTGACACAACCACTTCCAAGGGCAGCCTGTTCCAATGCTTGACAACTCTTTCGGTGAAGAAATTTTTCCTCATATCTGATCTAAACCTTCCCTGGTGCAACCTGAGGCCATTTCTTCTTGCCCTGTCGCTTGTTACTTGGGAGGAGAGACCAACACCCACCTCACTACACCCTCCTTTCACTCCTTTCAGGGAGTTGTAGAGAGCGATAAGGTCTCCCCTCAGCCTCCTTTTCTCCAGACTAAACAACCCCAATTCCCTCAGCAGCTGCTTATAAGACTTGTGCTCCAGCCCCTTCACCAGCTTTGTTGCCCTTCTCTGGACACGCTCCAGCAACTCAATGTTTTTCTTGTAGTGAGCTGCCTAAAACTATCAGAGTCCTCGAGGTGTGGCCTCACCAGCGCCAAGTACAGGTGGACCACCACTTCCCTGGTCCTGCTGGCCACACTGGTTTTGATACTGGTTTTGACCTTCTTGGCTGCCTGAGCACACTGCTGGCTCATGTTCAGCTGCTGTGGACCAACACCCCCAGGTCCTTTTCTGCTGGGCAGATTTCCAGCCAGTCCTCCCCAAGCCTCTAACGCTGCATGGGGCTGTTGTGATCCCCGTGCAGTTAGCTCTCTGTAGCAAATGAGGGGAAAAGCAGCCAAGCCCCAGCTGACAGGGTGTTGCACACAAGCGTGTGCTACATGAAGTGCATAAGGTGACTGCAGCCTCTTGAGGACGATCTTGCTGTGAGGACAGAGCAGGGACATGGGAACAGCTTTGTGCTGCAGAGTTAGGCTGGTTTGTCCTACTCTGCTTGAACTAGGCGGGTGCCCGTGCTGTCCACAGGGCAGTTCACCGGTTCCTTAACAGCAGGCTTGCCCGATCACTCTTGGGCATGCAGGCTGCCATTTGGCAACATCAATCTGGTTTTGAAGGGTTTTAAGCCCGGCAGTCCTTACAGCAAAATGTGAAAACTTTTGTTTTCGAAAAACCAAAAACTTTTGTTTTCAAAAAACTTCCTGTACTGTGAAATCATGGGCTGTAGTGTCTCTGCACTACTCCATGTGGTAAGGGCAGCTTAGTCCTAGGGCATAGCGTGCAGCAAATCAGTAAAATTAGTTTAGCATGACTCCAGTGCAACACAAGCGAATAAATCAAGTATCAGGGAGCAGCACTGGCAGGCATGTTGCAAAGACATCTAAACGATTCCTTATGCAGCCAGCACAGGTCTAGCAGAGCCAGCACTGAGCTAGAGCTAATAAAACCTGTCGAACCCAAGCTGTGCCTGCATCTGTGGTGCAATTAATCTGTGACATGAACAATCTGCCTGCAAATAACTGTAAGCTGACTATATGTACGAATTTAACAACTCGCATTAATTAATACTTACAGACAGATCGAGTAAAATATCACTAATATTTGGCAACAAATATAAAATATCATTACAACTCACAAGCGTGAAGTTCATGCATCAATAATTATGAGACAGATAGCAAAGTCATTATACTGTACATGTACATTTGATTTTGTAATTTCATTTTGATCTCCCTATTATTATCATCTTTCATGATAGACAATTAACATAAATTATGTTACCATAGCACATAGAAGTCCCACTCACAGGCAATATTGCCTTGAGTGATACACAAATAGAGAACAAGAGGTAACACTGCCAAACGTTAACACAGACCTATGAGACAAAAGATGATAGAGTATGAAGAGCTGATGAGAATGGTCAACATGCCAAGAAAAGATCTTTGCATACTAGCAGCTTAGCTACTGTCAATTTTTATAGGAATCACAGTAAAACAGCCCATTAGGGAGGGAAGGCTTTGCATGGCGATAATAAGAATGCTTTTCATTTAGAAATTATAGTTTCTATACTGTATTACCAGTGTTCCTCCCACCCACAGCAGTTCAAACCAGGAACAATTATATCAGAACAATAACAATTTCTGCTTCTCCTGTTGCTGTGAAGTCTGCAATCCACAGATTCAGCTGCTTCAGCAGTCTTTCCTCCTAAATCCTGATGTTAGGGAAGATAAGTGACCTAAGAGGAGAACACACTTGCTACCTATGGCAAAAGACAAAGCATTACAGTTCACAGTATATAGGCAATTTCTAGTCCTCCCTCTTCTGAGAAAAGTGTCAATCTTCTGGCAATAAAAGGCTGAAAGTTGAAATGACCTGTAATCATCCTAGGTGGCTGCTCAACCCCAGGTGTCAGGCAACTGTAGAAGTTAGAGGAGGATTATCCATGTGCCTGACATTCACAGCTGGTGCCTTTTCAAGACCGTCTTTCACCTTTGCTGCAATCTTGCAACTTGCAAAAAAGTCATGAGCCCTGGCTGTGTTTCAGGTAGGTTAGCTGTCAGGGTCTGGAGCACAAACCCCTTCTAGGAGCACCGCTGGCTACATTAGAGTTGAGCTGGCTGAATCCGAGCTCAGCTCCTCTGTTGATAAGAGCTGTTGTGAGGAAAGCTAGAAGTGAGGGCCATCCTCTCCTTTCTCTTGGGAACTGCTTTTAAGTTGAGGCCGTGCACCTAGTCTCCTACGTCCTCAATTCTGACTCTGATCTGGACTCAGACCTACTGGCTAGGCTTCCTGGCTTGATCTTGGACCTGCCTCATCACTATGGACTTTCTGTGTGATCACTGGACTATGTCTGACCCTGATGGCTGTTTCCGGCCCTGATCATGAACCAAATGTTCTGCTCCACATCCTGTTTCTTCTTGGTGAGGTCTCCGCTCCCACCTGCCTTCGTATCATACTCCACCTGTGACTCACCTTCCCTTTTGGAGCAGCCAGCCCTCGCTGCCCCCTGACATTGCCACACAAAACCCAGTACCTCACTACCACACTTAAAAACGGCTGTCCTGACTCTCCATACAAAAAGAAGCATAAGCCATGTGAGGTAGCAGAGACAGACAGATTCATCTCTCACAGCTCAGCTACCTGTCATAGCCATGCAGCTGCTCTGCACACCTTTGGTTCATGTTAAATGAATTCCTACACTTCAAGGTTGTGTAAAGATTTGTAAAGCCAACACACCCAGCCATCAGGACAGCTCTGACTTGGGGGAAGTCTTTGCAGAATGCAGAACCAGGATGAAATCTATTGCTTCTTCCTCTTCAGTTTACTCATTTCTGTCCTCAGCCCTACCATTCTCTCACCCACATTACCCAAACTAGACTTCCATGCCTCACCCAATCAGTCTCCTCTGTCCTGAGATCTTCCAATAGAGGAAAGTTTTTCCTGCCCAACTTATTTTTCTAAAAATATCTTCTTGACCTTGCTTGCTTCCTTAATTCAAAGAGCCCCCCTTAATTTCCCCAAGCACTTCTAACACCTGATTGTTTCCTGCTACCACCATGCCAGCAGGGTTTCTAATTCCCCATGCATTCTCAGTTTCTTCTTACTCTCTTTTTGTTGATGGTGACGTCTCCAAATTTTCCAAAGACAATTTCTGAAACCTTGGCATGTCTTCTGCATAGTACTGTAGGGAACAACACAGTTTTCTCACTGTCTTATTGCACTGCAGAACTTTAAATGTCTGTCTTTAAGAATATGTAGAGTGTCTCCTAAGGTATTCAAAATATAAGAGCTGACGTGATTGACTGTCTTAAGAAACAACAGTTGTTTTGATTGCATTTAGAAATGTCATAAGATGCCAGAGTACATTGTCCTAGAATGTACATTTGTGTGTTTTAGTTATGTTCACCATGGTAGAAGCAATAATCAAAATGCAAAAAGAGCACAGATAATAATTGGATAAATTGTTTTACAAGTGGTTTATGGTAACTCTAATGGAAGTCTGTGATATTTAATGAGCTGCTTTCTTTTCCTGTTTTTTCCTTTGATCTTTACAGTTGTCTCCAAAAGAATATTTTCGAGTACAGAAAGCAATATGCAACAGGACTAAGGTGCTTATGACACTACACCAAGAACAAGAATGGAAGTAAATTTATTCAGCAATTCTACTGTTGGAAACAGTTCATCCCTCAACCATAAGCAGTTAGAAGGGCACAGTCTCTGGGAAGTTATTACTATCGCCACTGTAACTGCAGTTGTAAGCTTAATGACCATAGTGGGAAATATTCTGGTCATGATATCCTTCAAGGTTAACAGTCAGCTCAAAACTGTCAACAATTATTACTTACTCAGCCTTGCCTGTGCAGATCTCATCATTGGAATATTTTCTATGAACCTTTATACATCCTATATACTCATAGGCCATTGGTCTCTTGGAAGCCTTGCCTGCGACCTGTGGCTAGCACTGGACTACGTAGCTAGCAACGCCTCAGTAATGAACCTCCTAGTCATCAGTTTTGACAGATATTTTTCCATCACAAGGCCTTTAACTTATAGGGCCAAACGCACGCCCAAAAGAGCTGGCATCATGATCGGTCTGGCTTGGCTAATTTCCTTTGTGTTGTGGGCACCTGTAATCTTGTGCTGGCAGTATTTTGTTGGTGAACGAACAGTACCACCTGAAGAGTGCCAGATACAGTTCTTATATGAGCCCATTATCACCTTTGGTACTGCAATTGCTGCTTTCTACATTCCAGTGTCCGTGATGACCATTCTGTATTGTCGCATCTATAGAGAGACAGAGAAACGTACCAAGGACCTTGCTGAACTGCAAGGTTCAGAGTCTGTGGCAGAGTTTGAGATGATAAAGCCTCAGAAAGCTCTCCTGAAATCTTGCTTCAGTTGCAAGCAACAAAACTTAGTCAAAAGAGAGAGGTGTCAGGCTTCATGGTCTTCATCTAGTCGAAGTACATCAGCTACAGTGAAAGCTTCTCAGGCAGCGAGCACCTGTAATGACTGGGCTAAGGCTGACCAGCTAACCACCTGCAGCAGCTATGCATCTTCAGAAGAGGAGGATAAACTTGCCGCTGATTCAGTTTTCCAAGTAACTTACAAAAGTCCATCTAAAGAAAAAGGAGAAGAGTTTAATGAGGATACGGATGTTGTTGTCAAAGACCAACCTGAAGAAAATGATTTTGAGAACCAGAAATACTTTTTGTCACCTGCCAAAGGCCATGTACAACAAAGTAAAAAATGCATGGCCTATAAATTCCGGTTGGTGGTTAAGGATGATGGCACCCAGGAAGCCAACAATGGTTGCCGTAAAGTGAAAATATCTCCTTGTTCTGCTGCTCTGTCAAAGGATCCTTCCATCAAAAGCATGGATCCAAATATAAATAACCAAATCACCAAAAGGAAACGGATGGTTCTTATAAAGGAACGCAAAGCAGCACAAACTTTAAGTGCCATTCTTTTGGCTTTTATCATCACATGGACTCCCTACAATATCATGGTTTTGATCTCCACATTCTGCTCTGACTGCATTCCCTTGACATTGTGGCACCTTGGATATTGGCTGTGCTATGTGAACAGCACTGTTAACCCCATTTGTTATGCCCTCTGTAACAAAACTTTCAGGAAAACTTTTAAGATGCTGCTTTTCTGCCAGTGGAAAAAGAAAAAAGTGGAAGAGAAACTGTACTGGCAGGGCAACACCAGACTGCCATGATAGCTCTTAGATAAAGGATAAGGGGGAAAATAGATATTGACGTAACCTAGTAAATTGACTGTAATTCTGTCTTTTCAAAGTTGTTGCTTTATATGTCTAGGGGTTAAAACAATTCTGCACAAAAGTAAAATTTTGCATGAAGGTAGTGTGTTTGGGATAAAGACGTCAGTGGCTGCTGTGAGCAACACGGGCTGGTTTTGATTATGCAGGAAATCTGCATTGAAGTTATTATGTCTTGGGTCTTCTGTCCTTTCTTTCAACCTGAGAATGTGTAGAGTAAATTATAAACTACTAGAAATTCGAGTGGGATGGTCATCCAGTCATCAGGTCAGGTTATCCAGTTTATCTGCCTGTAGTGCAGAGCTGTTTCTTCCTATAGTTTGTTTCTAGTGGATTGTCCATTTAGTTTTCAAAGTACCAAGCAGTGGAGCTTGTACTACTTCTAATTTGAGACTTGTCCACCTGCTGTTGGAATGAAACAAAGACTATTTAAAGGAGGAAATGCTGTCATCCCCAATACTGAAAGGTTAGAGAGATTCATAGTACTCCGAATGAAAGCACATATTATAGGAGAATGTAATACTGAGAAAATGTCCACATTAAGGATGAGTTTTGTGGAGACATAGGAAGGGTTTATAGTGGAGGAAATAGATAATGTATTTTGTATAGGAAGAAGCCAGTCCCAGTCTCAGTTCCATCATGCAAGTCACCGTCATCTGTAAAAAAGGGTGATGGTTAGCAGATACCTCTGAATTTCTCCCTTTCCCAATGCCTCTGAAGGAAATTTTAAAATTTTATGCACTAGTGACAATCAGTACACATCAGAACTGACTGTAAAGCATAATGGACATAGTGTATCTGCTTTACAACACAAGGAAACTCCTTTTTGCAATCATCTCCTTTGTTGCACTTCCCTTTGGCCCTAAAGTTTCCATTACTGATGGAATGATGCAGAACAAGAGAAAAATTGATGCCCTGTGCATTTACCTATATATTATGAAATTATTATAAACAGTGACAGAATTGGCATCTCTGAAAGAAGAAAGATTTTTAAAGTAATTTTTGAGTATTTTATAAAACTATTAAGGACACTTTGAACTTTTGTAGCACTTTTTATCTTTAAATAGTTTCACAAATCCTAGTCAACACCAGGTGTTTGAAAACATACACTATCTTTTGGTCCAGCAGAACCATATCTGCTCCAGTAGAGGGTCCTCCCGCAGTGGGAGCTGGAGTCAACCCCTCTGATGGCTGTGGCTTCTGGGACTGGGCTGTACTGGCCTAGTTACAATGAGCTAAGACTCTGGCCACTAGCTGAGGTTTGTTGGGGCTTTGGGTTTGTGGTGAGAACACTTCTGTGGCAGGGTTGAACTTCATGTGCCTGTCTGTGTTAGATTGGCAGGAGCCCTCCAGCGTTGCCCGAGTGGGTGCGTAGGTGAGGGGCTACCTTCAGCAGAAGGCTGTTGGAAGGGAGCTGGTGACCTGGATCCTTGTGGTGGGAACAAACGTGAAGCTTCAGGAAAGGCCACGAGAAAACAAAGTGGTGACAGGGGTTATAAGGAAGAAAGTCCTAAAGTGAACAATTGTTTATAAATAAACGAGAAAGATCTCCATGTACACAAAGCTCAGATTCAGTTCTAGCCTTTCTATCAAAATTTGGGGTGAGATGCTCTGGAATACAAGTTTGGGCCAACCTTCATATTGCATCTACTATACACTTTAGTGGGACATTGCAGTTACATCACCCAGATGCACATTTCAGGGATTGTTTTAGTCATCTTGAATGTACCATTGCTCTCAGTGAAACTGTTCATATAATTTATTAAGTTATCATACCATCAAAGTGTTTCCC